TCATCTCGACCCAGAGATCGAACCCATGTCCCTTGCATCTCCTGCATTAGCAGGCAGATTCCTTACCACTGTGCCACCCGGGAAGCCCCCCAAGCAAGGATGATGTTACCATAATTCTTCAGAGAGAGAATCATAGGCCATTCCAGCCATAAAACCCCTCAGGGATCACTGGTCCAATTCCCTCACTGATGAGGCTTTGCGAGGTCAGAGCCGGTCACCTGGGCAGGTAACAGCCTAGGCAGGGGTCAGAGCCAGGCTTGGCCCACCAGTCCTTCCACCCGAGTTGGCCTTCCAAGGAACCCTCCCTCACCCACTGCCAAGCTTGATCTCTTCTTCAAACTAAGCCTGACCAGGGCTATTTATTCACTTAAAATAAAAGCTCATGGAAAGTCTGATTTCTCAATCCAAGGCATGAAACGATGTCCAGGATTGTACAACTGCTCGTGGACTCAGAGTCCAGCACCGCCGTCCTGAGGCTGTCGGACGTCTGACCACAGTTAGCTCATGGTCCTGCCGTAATCACTCACTAAATACAGTTATTTTAAGCGCTAATGCAACCTATTTACGGCTCCTCTGCATGGAACCAAGTTACTCAAACGCTTGGCTTCTAAACACTTGGCTTACCAATTTTATGAAACCTTAATATTTTAACTATTTGGTGGCTCAGACAGTAAAGAATCTGCCTGCAATGAGGGAGGCCTGGGTTCGACCCCGTGTTGGGAAGATCCCCTGGAAGAGAGCACGGCAACCCACTCCAGTATTCTTGCCTGGAGAATCCCCATGGACAGAGGAGCCTGGTGGGCTACAGGCCATGGGTCACAAAGAGCTGGACACGACCGAGTGACCAAGCACAGCACAGCAAGACCAACAGAGAGCCAAAGAAGATGACCAACCAGCGTGAGCAAAGCCCTTATAAATTACTTCTAAGCTGGTTGTGGCTCTTCACCAGGAGTGCGTGGCCAGCCTCCCCCAGAAGCCCTTCCTTGTCAGGCCTTGGGTGGGACCAAGATGGGGAGTCCCTGAGCTTCGAGATCTCTGGGCTCGGGGCTGCTGTTTGAGGCAGGGGTGGGGTGCTTTCCTGGACTGTGCACAAGGAGGAGAAAAAAGATTAGGCTTCTGATACTTGGGGAGTCTTTTTGGGCCTCTTTCCTGGCTTCCTGTCCATTTTTCAGCAGAGACCGGTCAGAGATCCTGGCTAGTTTTTTGCAATGTCTGGGACTCCAAAGAAGCTTTTCTCTGCCCAAGAACAGTCTGGGGCCCAGGGCTTTGGTTTGGAAATATCTCTAGTACAGCTCCTTCTGTGCTTTTTTTTTTTTTTTCCCCAGCAAGAGCTGCCTTAATGGCATCTGGGGGTAACCATGTCCTCCAACGGCTGTGCTGGTGGAGCGAGCGCCGTGACGTGTCCTGTGTTTCATCTCAAGGCCACGGCCATCTGGAGCTCTGTTTATTCCAGCTATTCGCTTCAGCTTAGCTGGGGTTGGCTTATAATCTCGGTTTCTCTGTCAACAGCACAGAGTGATTATGAATGGGCTGTGGACCAGATGCATGGGTTCAAGTCCTGGGCAAGGCACAGCTCTGTGACTCTGCTCCCAGCTGTCATCCCGGGAGGATGACACCACACCCCTCATGGGGTTGCTGGGAAGATCAAATGGGCTGGCACAGGGCTGGCACAGAACAAGCACGAAATATATGTCAGCCCTTCTTATCAGATTATTATTACTTGCAATCTCTTTCTTTCTTTTTTTGTAATCCCCTGATCAGTGTAGAGTTTCTGCTTTAAACTAATCCAATCAGCTCCTGGTGGAAGACAGCAGCTCTCTAATCTCTGGTATAACTGTACACTTTCCCAGCCAAACCTTGAAAGCAGCGTTGATTTCTGAAATAGATGATGTGCCCTCATTTCCAGAACCATGATTAGAGACCCTCTCCAAAGTCTTTGTGAAGCAGCTCATAGATGAAAGTGCTCTCTTTTCAGGGCTGGTGCACTGGGATGACCCTGAGGGATGGGACGGGGAGGGAGGTGGGAGGGGGGTTCACGATGGGGAACACATGTACACCCATGGCTGATTTATGTCAATGTATGGCAAAAACCACTACAATATTGCAAAGTAATTAGCCTCCGATTAAAAGTGCTCTCTTTTGAATGGGGACATATCCCACCATCCAAAGATCCGCCGCGACTCCCACAGGCTGCTTAGCAGCCCCCCTTACCTCCCTGCCCTCTCTCTCTCCACCCCAGTCAAACCCTCCTTGTGATCCCAGGACTGGCAGAGCCGCTCCTGCCCAGGGAGCTCCTTCCCCACATCCTCACGAGGCTCGCTCCAACTCCAGGCTGCAAGTCCAACGACGCCTCCTCCAAAAGACCTCCCACGGCCACTCCAGCTAAAGGAACGCTCCGGCCACGCCTCGGAGCCAGAGCCAGCGGCCAATGCACCACACTGAACAATGACGTCAGGTGACCTGCTCATGGGCAAGGCTTCGACTGAATGAAGCCTTGGCTCCCAGGCTCCTGTCCTCAGAGGTACCTCTGGAAAGTCAGCAGCAGTAGGCTGGATGCAGGGATCGGTGGGGGGCGGGGGGGGGGGGTGGAGCAGGGGGAGCGGAGAAGGGCAGCAAAAGCAAAACCTTTCATTGAGGAAAGAAAGACTGGGTGGCCGTGGATTTCCAGTACCTCTGGTTTCTTCTTCTATTCATTTGTTCATTCAACATCCTCCCCACACACACATCTGCCAGGTGCCTCCCAAGTGCCCAGTAGACACACACACACACACTCAGTGCCGGATGCACCGTGGAGCTCAGTAAATATTTGCAGAAAGGAAGGACAGGGGAGAGCCGCTCTGCACCCTGTCTCTCTCTCCTCTCACCACGCTCGTCCTCCTGGGTCCGTCCCCTCTCTGGCTCCCCACGGAGCCTGCTGCGGGCCTGCTGGCCAGCGGCAGACAACCTGCTCCCCGCACACACACAGGGTGACTCTCCATGACTCCGCCAACTCCAAGACTTGCTAAGTGACTCCACCTCGCTGGCCATCAGTCTGGGACTCCAACAGTGCCAGTTACTCAGGACCCTGCGCCATGAGACCACAAACAATAACAGCTGACTTGTTTTTGACCAAAAAAAAAAAACCATGCAATGTGCTTTTTTAAAGTCCTCACCTCACACCCAAATTATGGCATGCATCATGCCTTCGCGCCCCGGTGTGGTCTGCTTTCCACCGCTAGCTTCATCCTACCCAGCTTTTTTGTTTTGTTTTGTTGTTGTGAGCTGCCTGGCTCAGGAACATCTGAGAACACAACCCAGCCCGTCCCCTCTGGCCCTGGGACTCTGCGCCACCAGCCTGGGTCACTCCGATGCCTCCCCAGCCACACCAATCTACTCGTCAAACAAGGCTGGACTCAGCCTGCCCCCTCTCCCCACTCCACTTGGGACACACTTCGGGGCCTCCCCAAACTTCCTTTCCCCTCCCCAACGTCTGTTCCCCAGCCCAGTAAAGCATTGGGTTGTTTCTGAATAAGGCTGTCTGGGTTCAAATTCCAGCTGAGTGACCTTGGACATGTAATTCACCCTTAGTTGTCCCACCTGTCAAATGGAAATGACTTGCCTCCTCTTGAGGCTGTGAAGGCCGAGTGTGGTCGCACGTGTAACACACCTGGCCCAGGGACTGGGGCGCCAAGTGGGCACCCAATACACATGCGTTGTGGTGCCCAAACCCAGACTGGGCAGGTTCACTTCCCTCTGGAATAGTCTCCTCCACCCTCTAACTAGGCTGTTTCCCGAGAGCGGAGGTTCTGCGTTTTACCTGTATGGCTCTGGCACCCTCCTCCCCAGGTTGGTTAGCCTATGCCAGGGGGGAGGTGGGGGGAGGCTCCGGGTTGGTCCTAGACCGTTTGCCTACCGAGAAAACCTAGCCTAGCTCCCCGGGGCTGGGCTCCCGTCTTCCAGTCTCCATGCACTGCCCGCGGTCAGGAGGCAGCCTTCAGGCTGAGGGCATGTGCCCTGCCAAGCAGGGCTGGCCCGTCCCCACACCACTGGATTGGCCGGAGCTGAACTCAGCATTGTTTTTCCACATGGTCTCTGGGACTGGAGAGAAGCATCCTTCGGGAAGGTCCCGCGAGAGAGTCAGAGGATGGCTCCACCCTTCGCTCCCCCCACCCCCGCCTCCCCGGCCAGGACGGGTCTTACTGATACAGAAAAGATGCTTCAGGAGGGAGAAAGCTACACTTTTCCCTCACCCCTAACGCGCTCCCCTCACCCCTGCCTCTGCCTTTTCCCTGATCCACGGGCAGCTTATTCAAAAAGAGCCACTTTCATTTTTGTACGGCTGGCTCAAAACCCAGGAAGCGAGGCTGGCATCAGTACCCGCTACGCCTCCTTAAACCGGTGCTTGACCGGGAAACCCTGGGGCGGGGAGAAACCGGGGAGCCTGAAGGGCATGGCCACCTCTTTCAAATAAAAAGTTAAAAGTTCTCAACCAGGAGATCGCTAATGTGAAACATGAACCCTGTTCATCTTAAGGGGGTGGGGGGGTGGGGGCGGATGAAGAGAAGGAAGGGAAAGCACAGAAACGAGACTTGGTGGTCCCAACGCCCGGGGCTCACTTAGCACCGGACACTCTTCCCAGCCCCGAACTTCTCAACCCTCTTCATGCCCACATTCCCGTCCTGTTTGTCCCCCAGGCCCTGGCGCGGTGTGGTTCCCCGCGGGGCAATCAGCAGGCGGCCATGGGCCGGAGGCCCCGGCACCGGGTTCCCCGGGGGGGTGGGGCGGTCTTCGGGATAGAGCAGGGCCATGGACCGCCACGAGAGGAACCGATCTTGCGCTGGGCGCAAAGCTCCGTTCCGAGGCAGCCCGCGGATCGCTGCCACCCCGGGGGTCGGTGCCCGCCTCTCCCAGCCAGTGGGTGCCCCCGGAAGACCCAAACAAAGCTTCGCGGCCCCTCTCCCGGCCCGTCCGTTCCTCGGGGCCGGGATGTCACGACCTGGGAGCTCCCGGAGCCCCGGTACCTTGGCCGCAGGCGCCGCGCTGCAGGACGATGACCGGAGGCTGATGCAGCCGCTCGGAGCGACGGCTGGCGGCGCGCAGCTGGCACAGGTTGGCGTAGGTTTTGGCGTCGCTGCCGCACACCGGCTCGTTGCTGGCGCACACGCAGAGGCCAGATTGCGCTCGCCGCCGCACCGTGGCCGAGGCTGGCACTCCGAAGGGCACCACGCACTGCAGCCCCTCGCCGCAGGGACCCTCTTGCAGGCCGCACTCGGCCCCCTCGGGCGCGCCGCACACCTCGCAGCAGCCACAAGCGTCGCGGACGCGGCCGCCCTCGCAGGATCCCGGCGGCGGGGCGCAGCGCGCAGGGTCGCAGCGCTCCGGGCACCCGGCGGCGCCCGGCGCTGAGCGCCCGGCCCGGGCCGGCTGCGCCGAGGCGGACGCCGGGAGCAGCAGCAGCAGCAGCAGCAGCGGCGGTGGGAGGAACGGGGCGCGCGGGGACTGCATGGCGACTCCGACGGCGGCGGCGGCGGCGGCGGCGGGCTGGGCGAGGGCCGGAGAGCGGCGCCGGGCAGAGCGCGGGAGGGACTCGGTACGAGCGAGTGCGCGCGGCCGCGCGGCCCAGCCCATTGGCCTCGCGGCAGTGACGAGCCGCCTTGGGGACGGGCACTTCGCCCGGGAGGGGGGCCGACCGGATGGCGGGGGGTGGGGGGGCGGTGCGGGCGGGAGGGGGGCAGGCGGGCGAACCGGGGACCGCCCGCGGCGGGGCAGGGCGGGCGCTGCGGGGCTCGTGGGCGCGGGCGAGCGGGCGGGGCGGCGCGCGGGTGGGTCTGCCGGCTCGCGGGGCTCTGCTTCCCGGTCTCCGCTTCCCACGTATTCGCTTCTCGCGGCTTTCTCCGCCGCCACTTGGGACCTTAAAATCAAACAGAGGCTTCGCACAGGGGAACCTGCGCGGGGCCGGCGCGCGAGCGCCCGGGAAAGTTCCCGCAAACTGACGAGTTGGGGACCCGCCCGGTCGCGGGAGGGGCCGTGGCTCAGACCCCGGGCCGGGTCACGCGCTCCAGGGCAGGGAGGCGAACATCTCTCTGGAACTGAGCCCCGCGCTCAGCACGCGCGACCGTGACCGTGGACACCCCCCAGCGAAGAAGGCGGGGCCCGCGGGGCTGGCACAAAGTCAGCGCCCATACCCGCCGACAAGCGAAAAATGCAGAGAGCAGAAATAGTTAGAATATAGTCATTAGAGTCATTTCAAAAGTTACGGGTGGGATGCGTGCTTGTGGCTGCCCAGAAGGGCGCGGGAAGGAGACGCGACAGGCTGCGGGGTGCGGGGGGTTGGGGTGAGGAGCGGGGGTCCGAGAGGGGCTGTGTACTGTTTGAATCTTTCACCACGTGCCTGATTCCCTCCAAACGCTATTAAATAAAAGAGCTCGCCTTTGATCCCCAACTCGAGAGTCTTTGGTGCATATCATTTGGGACTGAAGTTAATCTAGGCGTGGCCAGGAGGAGCAGGGGCGACCCTGGAGGTGGTGCCCGTGCCTGGGCGGTGCCAGGCCCACAGATGGGCAAAGCTGGCACCGAAGGATCCGGGAGGAGGAGGGGTCCCGCAGCCCTGAGCCAGGGCAGAGGCGCCCAGGGGTGACTGGGTGGGCACTGGGCTGGCCTTAGAGGGAAGGTAGTGGTAGAGGCTTAGCGACTTTTTGCTGTTCTCCTGTATTTCGTTGTTCCCTTGGGTACCGGGTACTTTTCCAACAAAAATTGTTTAAATGTAAAATCCAAATATGCATAACTCCCCCCCACCTCAAAGCACCTCCCAAATGCGAGACATGTTAGCGTCCAGGGTCCAGAGGGGTCCCTGGGCCCAAGAAACTGGCCAGCAGGAGGTCCACATCCTGGAGCATGACAAGATGTTTTGGCCTTGTCCTGAGTGTCTGGACCCCAGGGCAATATTTCCTAAAGTCAGGACCTCACCTTGTGTGAAGGGAGGCCTGCGCTCATAATTGACTCAGCCCTGGATTTGGGGGGTAAGGGGTGAAAGATACCTGATTAGAGGCCCCAAGTGCTCAACTGGATGAGATTACCCAAAAAAGAGGAGTTGGCCTGGTGTCACAGAGGAATAATATGCAAATCCATCAGGAAATGAAAAGACTCTCCCCACTGTAGCCCAGCTAGCAGACGAGATAAACGGGCCCACTGTGGTGAAGAGACTGGTGAAAACTTCTTTTCATCCAATACTTGTATTTTACAGATGAGAAAACTGGAGGCCAGAAAGGGTAAGTGACTCCCAGGTCACGCAAGTTGGGAGTGATGGAGCCACCACACTTTCCAAACAGGCCGTGCCTATCCGTTGGCCGCATCCTCCATCCTCCAGCCAAGTAGCCAGACTGCAGGGTGAACCAGCTGATTCAAAGCAAAACATGACCACAACTTATCCAAGCTCCTTCCTGGTCAGAGAATAAGTCCCTGAGTGTCTCACTGAGTCCCTATCACCCTCTCCCTCTGATTCTTCACTCCATTCCCCCCACTGCATATATTTTGCTCCCCCAGTGCTGAATAACTTGCATTTTCTGGAACATACCTTCCTGTTTAAGGTATCTCTGCCTTAGCTCGAGCTCTCCTCTCTGTCTGAAGCATCGTTCCTCCCCTCCCAGGGTAAGTTAGCATGACCTAGTGAAGCAGGCGGGAGCCATGTCATCTGATGGGCTTGAATTCAGAATCCCAGTCTGGCCCTCAATTCTGTAACTTTCTGCAAGTTGGATCTCAGGGACGTTCACCAGGAAAATGGCAGTGACCTTGGGTCTCCCTGGAGGAGCTAATCGAAGTGTGTTTTCAGCAATGGAACAACTCCTGTGATGGTTTGCAACCTAAAAGAAGTTTTTGTGCTGGTGATGATCAGAAGTGCAAGCCACAGAGGCCACAGAGCTGATCCGCTAGGGAAGGAAGACAGCATCTCTTTGCTGTTGGAAACCACACTGGCGGTTTCATCACAAGGGGCCAACCAAAGGAGGAACAGAAGACCAAGTCAAGCCTGAGAAGCAGAATTGGAGAGAGACTCTGGTTCGATTCCTGGATTGGGAAGTTCCCCTGGAAAGGGATAGGCTACCCACTCTAGTATTTTGGGGCTTTCCTGGCTCAGACGGTAAAGAATCCACGTACAATGTGGGAGACCCCAGTTTGATTTCTGGGTTGGGAAGGTCCCCTGGAGGAAGGCATGGCAACCCACTCCAGTATTCTTGCCTGGAGAATCCCCATGTACAGAGGAGCCTAGTGGGCTGCAGTCCATAGTGTTGCAAAGAGTCAGACACCACTGAGCAACTAAACACAGCACAAAAGGCTTGAGAAGGACCAGGATTGCATCATGATCACCTCCCAGGTGTGAGTGCAGCTCACCTTCCTGCTCCGAGGATGAGATGGGTCACCAAGGAGACAGCTTGAGTCAGGGACCCCAAGAGGACCATGGATGCTGAGTTAGAAAATTAAAGTCCCCCCAGAAGGATTATGGGGACCTGAACCGTCCACACAGGAGGGTGCTGTGTGTGTGTGTGTGCCTCGTGTGCACGACAGGGTACGTGTGGTAGAGCACAGCCCAAGTCAGGTGAAGCCTGGCCCCGGGGGCCCAGGCTGACCTTCCCTTTGCCCCAACATCTCCATATCTAGAAAGAATGCTTTTGATCTGAAAGGGTTACTCCCTTCTTTCTTTCTCTCTCTCTTTTTTCCTTCTCCCTCTGATACCATTTATAAAGACAGTTTCTTAAAAAGATGCAATTTTTGGATACATCATGAAGTCATTTCTCACTCATCAGGTCTTGGCACAGATTCCCAGAGAGGATTTTTCCAGAGAAAAGGGGCCAGTTCTGGAGCCACACAGGCAAGTTCCTGGCCATCCCCTCTGCAGGCCAGATTTGCTGCATGGAAGCTTTAATTCCGGACCAAGTCAAGTCTATTCATGAAATAATGAACAATGAAACACCAAGGCTGCCAAAACCTGGGTTAGGAAGTACGGCTTTTGAACTGGAACAGAGCATCCATGTCTGCGCTTTCCAGAAGGAGAAAGATCTGCCGCCTGGGGCCTCCCAGGTACACGAAGGACCCAGAGTGGTGGTGGTGGGTGGAGGGGATTCTACACCCTTTCCTCACCCCAAGGACCAGAAGCTAAGGAGCTGTGGCGATGCTTTGGACTCTTCCTAGAGTCTTACCACTCCCCTAGCCCCCACTTGCCCGGCCTCTCCATCTCAGTCACATGGAGTCCAGACTTCATGCCCCATGCTCTCCCCCAGGCTGTCCTCTACCCAGGCTGTCCTCTGGCCCCAGGACAGCAGATATCTGGGGCTCTCCCTGGCACCCATTTTCATCCTCTCCATAGTAACAGAATCCTGGCTAGGACATGCACCCAGAAAAAAAGATGACCTCCACGCTGGTTTGGGCTCCCTCCCCTCTGAGTACCAGCCACACTCCCACCCCTTCCCCCAACTCCACCATCAGAATGCTGTGACCTCTGGTGACCCAGGCACCCTGAGCCTGCTTCTCTGAAGCCAGTCTCACATCCAGTAGGTTTGGTTTGGTTCGAGAGAAGCTTCTTGAGTGTCTGCCATGTGCTGGCCACTCTGCTGACCACCAGAGAGGTGATGGTGAATGACCAAGGCCCTGCCCACCAGGAGCTCAAAGTCTAGAATTCCCTGCCGTGATGGAAGGTTTCCAACTGGTCCCCTCCAAGGTGGTCACCACCAGCTGCACATGGTTGCTGAGCATTTGAAATGCTGCAAGTGGCAGCAAGGAACTAAATTTTATTTGTCTTTCATTTTAAGTCATTTAAGTGCAAACAGCCACTTGAATGCAACCCATGAGGTGCATGAAACTAGTGCGGGAGAGAGAAGCATGAGAAGAAAATTGCTGGGGGGTTGAAGGAATTCTGTGAGGGGAAAATTGGGATGTTAGAAAGATGCTAACTGAGCTCCATCGTGAAGGAGGGGGAAGACCAGGAAACACATTGTGGGGGAAGGGTGTTGCAGAGGGAGGGAATATTATGAGTCCATCCAGATGGGGAAGTTCTCTAGTGTGGCTACAAAGAGGAAAGGGGTCACTGTGGGCAGGAGAGGCAGCTGAAGTGGAGGGGCAGGTTGTGAAGGGCTCTGGCTGTCCTCCGAAGGAATTTGGGCTGTCACTGACGCTGATGAGACGTTCCACGAGGCTTTTAAGGAGATGTGTTTTAGCAAAATTACCCTGCTGCAGTATAGATGGTAGATTGAGTTTAAAAAGTGGATTTGGCAACACACATGTTAAAATACAGATACATTATTAGATTTTAGGTGAGGGAGTACTTCAAGTTATATTGAAGATGCAGTTATCATAGCCTGATAGGATGAGAAGAGATTCCATCAGCTTTATAATAGTTCGTTCACTTCAGCAATGACCTCTTCAATGCAAACCCTGTCTTCAGAAATAGTGCAAATGGTGTGGATGTTTCAAGTAGTCTGGAGAACTTATGAAACGCTTTGGAAATATCGAAGTGA